GGCGGAAATGTTGTAGGCCCGTGTGCTCAGAATTGGGTGCACGGTCAAGAACCCCGGGTGGTCGAAATTTCCGGAGCTCTCCACTACGGCGTCTCTCATAATCATATAGTGGTTTTGGGACGTTAAACCCCACAAATCAATCAATTACATTACCACACACCATTCTGTGCGTCGCAGGAAATTATACGTGCCTCCCAGTTGTCAACTGTAGCTTGACACCTCAGGTTTTGCCACATGGGATCTCTTTGGCGTTGCTCTACACCTTAGAAGACAATGCGGTAGATGTTTACGCGATGGCCGCCCCTTCTGACCCCCACGCTCAACATCAATCTGCAACTTGCTCCGACAGCGCTATTACTTCTATGATCGCTTCCAACTTAACGCCGCAGCAGACTGATAAGCTCCACCGGGTTCTGCTGTCCTACATCGACGTTTTTGACATCAGCGGCCGTCCGTTGCGGAAAGCTACCGGTATGATCCACCGCATAAACACTGGTAATTAGCATTCTATTCATAGGCGTCCATATCGGGTGTCGGCGGCCGAGCATCACATCATCCAAAGTGAGGTCGACAAAATGCTCACCAAGGACTTTATTGAGCCATCCTGCAGCCCTTGGGCTTCTCCTGTAGTGCTAGTCCGCAAGAAAGACGGTGCATGACGTTTCTGCGTGGATTATCGACACCTAAACAAAATTACCGGAAAAGACGTCTACCCTCTACCACGAATAGATGATGCGCTTGATTGTCGCTATGGGTCCCACTGTTTTTCCTCCATAGACTTTCGTTCCGGCTACTGACAGATAGAGGTAGGTGAAATGGACCGTGAAAAGACGGCATTCATCACCCCCCATGGCCTATATCAGTTCAAGGTCATGCCCTTTGGCCTTTGTAACGCTCCAGCCACCTTCGAACGAATAATGGACTCCCTGCTCAGAGGATTCAAATGGTCCACCTGTTTGTGCTACTTGGACGACGTCATCGTCTTTTCACCATTTGAAACTCATATAGAGCGCCTCTCAGCCATCCTGGGAATCTTCCGTCGCACTGGCCTGCAGCTCAACTAGTCCACATGTCACTTTCGACGCCATCAAATCACAATGCTTGGCCATTTAGTAGACGCCAACGGTGTACAACTAGATTCGGCAAAAATCAGCGCCGTCAAAAACTTTCCTGTGCCACCATTTGCGAAGGATGTACGCAGCTTTATCGGACTATGCTCCTACCTCCGACGGTTCGTGAAAAATTTTGCGCACATAGTGAGGCTGCTTACGCAGCTTCTTAAGAAAGAAGTCCCGTTTTTATGGGGCTTCGAAAAGGCTTCTGCGTTCTCGAATCTCGTCGCTCTTCTCACAACCCCTCCGATTCTGGCACACTTCAACCCTGCTGCCGCTACGGAAATTAGTACAGACGCAAGTGGGCAGTGCTGGTGCAGTGCTGGCTCAGAAACAACATGGCCATGGTTGCGTTATTGCATATGCCAGCCGCCTCATATCCGCCACTGAACGTAACTATTCGATAACAGAGTGTGAGTGCTTGGCTCTTGTATGGGTGGGGGCGAAATTTCGACCTTATCTACATGGACACCCATTTTCGGTAGTTACCGACCACCATGCACTCTGAAGGCTCAACTCTCTGAAAGATTCATCAGGCCGCATTGGTCGCTGGGCTTTGCGCCTGCAAGAGTTTTCCTTTTCAGTGGTCTCCAAATCTGGCCACCTACACCATGATGCCGATTGCCTCTCCCGGTATCCTGTCGACGATCCTGAGGACACTGACAAGCCCACGGAGAACTCTATCTTGTCAGTGTCCGACTTCCTTAATATTGGGGAAGAACAGAAGCATGATCCAAAGCTGCTTGACATCATCAGCCGTATGGAATCCTCCACAAATGATGCTTCCGTCCGCTACTTTGTCATTCAAAAGGGTGTGCTATACCGTCGCAATTTCCGACCAGACGAGCCCGACCTTCTCATTATGGTGCCTAAGCATTTGCGCCGCTGTGTTCTCACCGAACTTCACGACGCTCTCACGGCTGGACACTTGGCGTATCTCGCACGTATGAGCGCGTCCGGCGCCGTTTTTTCTGACCAGGCCTTGGTTGTTCGGTACGCCGATACGTTGCCACGTGTGACCTATGCCAATGTCGCAAAACACCGTCGCTGCTACCCGCTGGCCATCTTGAACCAATTGACATACCCGCGAAATAATTTTACCGTGTTGGCTATACCTGCTTGGTCGTTTTCCCACACCAACATTGGGAAACAAATGAATAGCCGTTATTACAGACTATGCTACACGCTACGCTATTACGTACACAAACGCGGGCGGCACCATAGGCCTCTCTGAGACGGGGCACTGGGTAAGGCTGCTTTCAAAGCAGCTGAGTTTTGATGTTTGAAGTTTCTACATTTCAGCTTCGATATATTTCTAACTCTTACCTAAACTGTACTTGAAGTAAGTGGAAGGTCAATGAATGCCAGAAATGCATTTACGGAGTGCCGATGGCGAGCCACAGCCGTTTTTCTTGCTTTCGCTGGCAGTATACATTGGGCGTGCCAGTGTACAGATACATGCAGTTATATCAATACCAACAATTAGGAAAAAAACAACTAAAGAAATACCAACGCAATCCGCTTAAAACGAATTCCAGGGAGTCAGTTAACGAAGGCGTATAAAATTACCAATTGAAAATTGCGTGTTGTTACATATCAGTCGGAGAAGTACCGGCAAAGTTCGGCCGGCGGTTTTTGGCGACAGCCTGCGCAGGTGAAAGCGCGACGTTTGATCGCCAGCGCTCGTTGTGCCAACATCGACACAAGACAAATAGTATTTTAGATTCATGGATGTCAAAACTATACTTTACAGTTATTCTCACACTTTAAAGTTGTGTGTACATTATGCAAGAAGCGCTGGTAACATATATACCAACACAGCCGGCACAACAGGTTTAATGCTCGCTGGGCTGGGCACTGGGTAAGACCACTATCGACGCGGTGAGTTGGTTTGGTTGAAGATTGTGCATATGAGCTCGGAACATTTCTAACTCTTACTTGAAGTAAGTAGAAGGATAAGCATGACCAGACATGCATTTGTGTGGTGTGGCGGAATCGAACGACAGCTTTTTTTTCTCACCTCCGCCACCTTGCGAAGCGATCGAGAGAGCTCATTTACGTTTCGTCAACTTTGCGGCAAAAACAATTTCTTGTTTCAGTTAGGAGTGGCGTGCTGCTCTAGGCTTACAAACACTGCAATTTATAATCCTTACAGCAATATACGTATGATGCGAATATGCCCGGTTTACGTGGGGACATATGCGAAAAAGGTTCATTATTGTTGTTGCGATACGTACGAGCGCCGCAAAAATTACGTATGCTCAGTATCAATATTTAGACTTGAAACTGCCTAAACGGCGCCCTATGGACCCACCATGGTCTTTGTGGATGTTACGTGTAACTTCAGCGTACCCAATCTACCAGAGAAGCGCACCATTCCAGCCGCGGAAGCAAAATTTCTTGCGCTGGACCACTTGAGCACCATGTACCGCAGCCACCTACAAGTGTACATCGACGGATCAGTGTGCACACAAACGGATAGCTGCGCAGCGGCTTTCTGCATACCCTGCCTTGGCGTGTCATGGTCGGGCCACCTGGATCGCGTGGTTTCGTTCACAATGGTAGAAAGCGCTGCAATCACGGCGGCTTTGCAAAAATTGCGATCTTTTTCTGCACGAGATGTTGTAGTGCTGACGGAGTCCAAATCGGCGCTACAAAGACTGCATCGTGGCCTACCTCAAGAAAAGTTCACCAGGCAATCTCTGGCACTAATCAAACACCTAATTTGCAAGAGTTTTAATATAAAGTTCCAGTGGATCCCATCCCACGTTGGCATTGAGGGCAATGAAAAGGCTGATGCCCTTGCATGCGAAGCACGTACATCGTTTCCAAAAGTAAGAACTTCCAAGACTTACCAGAACAACAAAGATGTGATACGCAATCATTTCAAGGCGATCTACAAGTTTCCACACCAAGCATGTGTAATTCATGGACTTTCTCGTGAAGAAGCGATGCAGTTGTACCGCATAAGAACCGGCTCCGCATACACCCCGGCCTGGTCATTCAAGACTCGGAGATACGCTTCCCTGTTCTGTGTCTTCTGTGGTGAAAACGGGTATATTGAACATTTCATTTGGCTTTGCCCACAGTTTGGTGTGCAAAGGGCAGCGATGATTCGCACCTTGCGAAAGGCTGTCGTAGGCACCGGACAGTTGATGACGTCGTCTTGCCTGAAGGGCCCGCGGCAACTAGGACGAACGTGCAACGAGTTTTGTTAGTCTTCCTGCGAGACACTGGGCTGTTCTACACGTGGTGACATTTTCCAAATTCAGGAGATGCTCAGGCAGAACAATTGCCTGGCCATGCAGGCCAGGCTAACCCGCCTGCTGCCACACCACCACCACCACCCCCACCACCACCATCACCACCACCACCAGTATGTGTTACGGTAGCATATCTTCCTGCCGTCGAATCAAGCGTTTTATATTCAACGACACTGAAACATACCACGGCACACGCTACAATAACATGCACGCTGAGGCTGCGCTGGGTGAAGCAGTGCATGCTCCACTATTCACCAGCGCTTGCCAGTGAAAATTTCAGTGCTTCCAGCGCTTCGCAATGCGCACCAGCATCACAGCGGTTGAGCCAGCGCCCCTACCAGTGCGACACAGCTTTTTCCCAGTACGCCCAGTGAAGTGCCAGTGAAGACGAACGTGTACCAGTGTCTCCAGCGTGTACCAGTGCCAAAAAACGTACTGGCATCACGCTGCTTTCGCAATAGGGCAGCGTACCAAAATTGCCAACAGCACCAGCGGCGGCTGGGCTGTTGAGAGTATATCACAGCCGACAGAAACTGTAGGAAAGAATTTCTAATCTCTCATGGCGTGTGACGATTGCAATGAAATATCGCATGCTTTTCCGGTGAATGAACATCAAATCACAGCATTTTTATGCAAAACGCTATTTATTAAATTCCCATGAGCTTTCAATAGCGTGTCAACAAGTGAGAGCTGCTCCAGGCATGATTGTAGATTTACTTGTCAACACCGCCAATGCCATCGTTTCCTCCTACACCTGATGCACCAGCGGCCGCGTTAGTTGGTGCCATGATGAGGATAACTGAAACAATAACAAAGAGTTTTTAAAATTACACCAATAAAGCTTAGGGGACCTATTTTGTTTCGTTGCAATAAAGATAACAAAATTGTTTCGTGTGAATTGCTGAGTCATGTGACAAAAAACAGCAGAGTGGTGGAGAAAATACCTGACAGATTTTACTTTATTTCATGTGCGTTCTTACACTGATTAACAAAACTTTCAGTCTTTGAAAGTGCAGATACGAACTCTACATTAAAAATATTTTTGTGCAGTTCATGAATGGTGACCCAATAATTGCCATTTCGTGAATTAGCATAAGCTGCAGAAGGCCTGAGCCAATTTATACTGGAACTGTTGGCGTGTGCAGTACTCTGTAAAAAAAGTGTCATTGATGGATTGTGCAAGAACACTAATTTTCCTTAAACAACGTCACATTCTGAGTAACCGCAAAAACAGTGCCAAAAGTAATTCTGTACAGCCACTTGTAAATGCACTTTCGTAATTGACCTACAACTTGCTAGGTGTGCTCCGACAATTATTGAGAAAATCCAAAAAAAAATAACTCAACTTTCCTACGGATATTCATCCATCTGCGGCGTCACATATAAGTTAAATTATGAAAGATAATGCCACAAAAGTGCCATAGCTGTGGCTTATAGTTAAGCAACGTATAATTGTATTGTTACATATGAATTTTATGTCTATATTGGGCCTTTTTGATGTTTGTTTGGTCGCCGTATTTTATTTTAGTTTTCCCAAGTGTATGTTTTGGTCGAATCTGGCCACCTGTATTTGGTCAATCACGAAACATTCTGTAAAATGCACTCCAAGCAACCCATGCCTGCAGAAAGCTTACAACATGCGTTTGCAGAAAATAAAAATATAAATAACAAGTTTTTGTGTCATAATGAAGTACTAAATTTCTGAGCTTGAGTATGGCTTACGTATTGTTATTGTACGAGCACAACTGAACGTTGAAGAGAAGAACTCCACCCCATTTCGGCATTCCTGCTTGCCATGTTACAACTTCTATGAACAGACCTATACGATTTCTATTCGTAGTGGAAGTGGTATGTATACCTAATGTGAATGTTGATTAAGTTTATTTGCAAGAGCACGAGCCCATCATACTGCAACGCATTTCAATGTACTACACAACACATTTTCGCAAAAAAGCAAAACACAATTTGAACAAACTACTATGTCGTATTTGTTTAAAAAGATATTGTATAGTTGGCGTTATTTCATAAGCACATATTTGTAAGCATGCTGCTGCGCAATAAATTAGTGTCTTATTTCGGTGCAGACACACCGCTGTATTTCGCTTTTGTGTCTATTGTAGAATGGTAATAACTATAGGTGCACGTTAAGAAACCACCGGGAACAAATTTCCGGAGCCCTCCACTACGGCGTCTATCATTATCATATAGTGGTTTCAATACATAAATCCCAAATATCAATAACATCAACAGTAAGAACTAACGCTTTGATGCCCTGCTACATTCAATCTAACGTGCGAGTTGTTTTTTATTCTAGCATCTCTGGTAGACCATGACGCCACAATCACCTAACGTGTTCGGTTTGTTACCTAGGGATAAATCCAGAAGCAGATGACACAGCAGCAATTGTTGTAGAACCAAACACTGCTGTCTGCCAGGCTCTGCCAGAAGAGGCATTAATAAGCATCAGCAGGCCCCCGCATTGGGTTGCAATTAGTGCACCACCTGGTTTACCTCTGTGCCTTTCCATTTAAAGACGACAGTCTTTCTTGGAGACCTTCGAGAACACATTTTTGGTCTGTCTGTCTGCACACTTGTCTGTTTGTCCACCCTTAACGATACCCCGAATGGCACCAAATGATACCCCAAACGGCCGACCCCATGCGCAGCGCCCACCAATATTGCTCAAAATTCAGCGTTCATAGTCGTGCGATTCTCAATTAAAAAGCAATTATAGCGCATATCTAAGGCACCACAACAACGCGTCAATATTCTGTATGTGTGACTTTATACTAGATAAATTACACATAAGTAATTCTAAGAATCATTGTTTTTATCACGCTGCGCTGACAATGCAACGCTTTCACGAAATGGCATTTCCACCGCTTTGCCAAAACGACACGGTGGTGGTGCCAAGCCGTCGCCTTGCATTCTACACATTATCGCCTCCGAGACGGGTGCGCATGCCGTGCGCTTCGTTTCCCAAAATAACTGCCAGATAGCATCAATGACTCACGTGTGACGTGACTCGATGCACTCTTTCGCCTCCGCTGCATGTTTGAGCCGCTCTAACACAGCGCCCCCAGAATACCATTCACCAATTTTCTTGCACGCAACATCGAATAAACGTTTTGTTCAATTTCCAGACGCAAAAATTTCGTCTTTCGACGACATTCGCAGCGTAACATGCAGAAACGGGGCCATTTTTTTATGTGTCGCTCACTTATTTCAACAAATAAAAGCCTAATAATACTCATTATTAGTATTAGTATTGTTTTCATTTGAAAAAAAAGCAGCACATGTCACAAAAACTGTAAAGGCCTTCTCAGTTATACTTTAAGAAAAGAAAACTGCAGCACCACCAGAAAGTTTACCTAAAACATACGTTTTTTTGGTATACAGATGGTTTTTCCGTATACAGATGAGGGTAACGGGGGCTTTCAGTTGCAAAGAAGTCGTTCTATTTAGCAATTGACCGGCTAAAATGAATTCAACATCAATACCTATAGCGATGACAACGGCCCCTAGCAGGTTCTTTCCAAAGACACGGTTCATGTTTGCTTCAGTTGCAGTAAGGTAAAAATCGGTTAATGTATGACTCACAGATACTATTCATTCTTTTAGAAAGATATGAAATCTGCTTTAGTATGCTTCCACAATTATACCCAAAAATATTCGAGTATATGTAATTTTGGCCTTCTCGGGGAATATAATGGTCAGTTGCCATTAATAAACAGGACATATGCTACCTACGCGCTACGTGCCCGGCCCGTGTCCATTTCTTTTTGATTTCAATACTGACATCCTTAACACCGGTTTGTTCACTGACTCACTCTGTTCTCTGATTGTTTCTTAAAGTTGCCCCTACAATTTTCTGTTCCGCAGCTCTCTGCGTCGTCTCAATTGAAGCTGAACCCTTCTCTAAGCCTCGAGGTTTCGATTGAGAAATTAGGTACTGCGTACCAGAACGATGCACGAGTAGGAGAAAGAAAGTTAGGTGGGCCAATCTGATTAAAAAGTTCGCACGTATAATGTGGCAACAGAAAGTACCAGAGTTAGTTGATCGGCATATTATGCGAGAGGCGTTTCCCTGCAGTGGGCGTAGTCAGGCTGATGATGGGGATGATGTCTTTGTTTATTTATACAGCTTCCACTACTAAGGATAACACGTCAGATTTTAAAGGGAAGATTTAAAATAATCCCAAGGCACGTACACAACATAAGTTTTTCTCTGAACTTATTGCAAGATCAGTATTGGTAAGTACCAAAATACATTATCACGCATGATTCAGTCCTGCTGCAACTTGCTTTTAAAAAGCATTCAAAAAAGATTAGTTGAATACTCCCCATTAAAGTACGCACTTCTATGATACGTTATTTTGCAACAAGATGTTGCCTTTCTTGACTGAAGCAAATGTCTAACGCAGACATGTGTATAAAAATATAGGCCATGTGTGCAGCACAACGCTTAATCTTACCTGTAGCTGGATTCGTAATGCTGAGGGTGGGTCTCCGTACGTCTGTGGACGCAAGCATAGTTATTCTGACTTATATACCGCATGCGAGAGCTGAAGTATTTCGCTTCCCCTGTTGCAATAAAGCAAACAGTAAAAAAAACAGTCATATCACAAGTGAAACCTCGCTAATTGAGTTTTCAGAACCCCTATGGTGGCTTGTCTAATGCTGTAATATGTTAAAGCAGTAAAAATGCACTCTTAGTAATTACCAATCAAACTTTCTGAAAAATAACCTTATGGGTGCCCATCAGGCGTGTCACTTTTTATCACACTTTCGATCAAAATAAAACAAGGTAAAGAACTTGATGAGCAAACGAGAAGAATTCAAGAAAGCGTAACAAAAGAGAACATAAAGCAGAGTAACGATATACATCATAGAGAATTCGGATTGTAGGTTGTAAGAATTTCTTTGCGATATATTACGAATTGTGAACAAAACTTTAGTTACATGCATTCATACTTTCTAATGTGAACATGACTTCAAATACACATATTCTCCGATTTTCATCTTAGCATGGTGTTCAGGCATGTGCATTGTGCAGGTAAATACGCAAATAACGCGGATTCCATACCACACTTCAACCCCTGCCAAAGACACCACAGATTTTGCAGCTCACAAGAGTCTCTGAATACAGCTTTTAGGGGCGAAGCTCCTTAAAGTTGCACCCGTTAATCCCTCATCGTAGTGCGTAACTAGTCTTAGGTTTTGACCTGCAAGGTGGTGCTGGTAAGAGATTTTTCGTTTGCGTTTTTGAACAATAAAAACATTCGCAGCGTGCGTGTTAACTCAAAGCCGATTTCTACTGTGTCTCATTCCCCATGAGCATCAATTGGCATGTACATTGAGCACTATATAATAAGAAAGGGTTGCACGTTATACTCGCTGGGCGTAACCTCCGTGGTTTTAGAAGGTTTAGCGAGCGTTGTGCCGCTGCGCCATGGATAAAGTGAATTAAAATATAATATGAACTCGAGGTGGTTAAGGTGGGAAGTAGACTCGAAGCGAAAGCCGAATTCTCCTGTCTCTCATTCCCCATTAGCAGTCATTGGCATGTACATTGAAAACTATCTGACAAGAAAGGGTAGCTACGTTATACTCGCTCGGCGTATCCTCCATGGTATTAGAAAGGTTTAGCGAGCGTTGGGCCGCATTGCCATGAATGCAGTGAACAAGTATATACTATGAACTCGAGATGGTTTACGTGTGAAGTGACACAAAGGCAAAGCCGTAAGAAATGTGCGTGAGCACCTATTGTAAGTCATTGGATATCCGCTCGAGGTGGAGCTTCTATGTGCAGAAAAAGGTAGGAGGCAGCTGCGAAATTTTGAACCATCTAGACTTTCTAAGAATGAGACGAGCCTAAGCGATGATGTAATTTAGTTCCAATCACTCAAGGTGCTAGGATAGAAGGGACGAACCTATTAATAGATAAGACACGCTGACAGAAATTTCACAAAGAAGTGCTTTATGCAACCCATAAACAGGATGATCAATTGATGCAAAGGCTTCTTTTTCACAACGGGAGAGTGGGGAAGAGTTCATAAGCAATTTGCTAGTAGACATCAAGAGGACCACGGCTTCCAATATACGATAAAGACTATAGTCCGAGTCTAAGCGGCTTTGGGAAGAGCTGGGAAGCAAATTTATAATCATGGTGAAGTTCCATGATGGAAACTACCTGATGAACAGATCTATAAAGCAAGGGGGACAAGCCACAAACACTATGTCTTATAACTGTGACATCAGGGTCTACAGGCTGCAATCATATATAAAGGAACAATAGCAGGCATTGATAGAGGATGATGAGGTGCTGGGGTACTGCAGAATGGGTTTCAGGAAACACAGGGAGCTTGGAAGACAATCTGTTCTCACTCAGACGCAGTGGCCATCGAAAATAGCAGAAAAGGAACACAGGCCCCTGTGATAGCCATTATGGATATCAAGGGAGCATACGATGCGTGGATTCGAGGAGGACTTGTGGGGAATACTGGACGCACTAGGTGTGAAGATGGATCACTAATCTTTTGAAGGATATCTATAAAGGTACAAAGCAGTTATAAAGTGGGAAAAACAGGTATCTAAGCCTACAGAAGTAAAACGTTGGCTTAGGCAAGGGTGTCGTCTGTCACCCTTGTTATTCATAATGTACTTACAAGGATTAGAGGCCAAATTAGAAGGAAGTGGACTGGGCTTCAACCTTTCTTTCGTCAAACAAGGAAACCTCATTGAACAGACACTACCAGCATTGATGTACGCAGATGATATAGTGCTAATGGCCGACAACAAGGAAGATTTGCAGAGATTGATGGACATCTGCGGTAATGAGGTAGATAGGTTAGATTTCAGATTCAGTAAGAAAAATACGCAGTCAGAACTTTTTAATGATAATGAAGGTAGTGAGCTTAGAATACAGGAAGTCACGCTAGAGATAACAGATAAATGAAAATATCTGGGCGCAATGAATAAGCAATAGGGCCGAGTACCTAAGGAAACATGAAATATACGTGACGACTAAAGGTAACAGGAATGCAGCGGTGATGAAAAACAGGGCACTGCGGAACTACAATAGGTATGATGTTATGAGAGGTAATATGGAAGGGAGTCATGGTTCCTCGTCTGACGTTCGGCAATGCGGTCTTGTGCATGAGATCAGAAGTTCAAGCAAAATTAGAAATTAAGCAACGTAGAATAGGTAGGCTTGCCTTAGGAGCTCACGGGAATACACCAAATCAGGGAGTATAAGTTTATATGGGCTGGACATCATTTGAGGGCAGGGAAGCTAGCAGAAAGACAAAATTTGAGAAGCGATTGAGAGAAATGGGGGAGAAGCGGTGGGCTAGGAACGTATTCAGCTACTTGTACATGAAGAATATCAATAGGAAATGGAAGAAGCAAACCAGAAAGTTGACTGGTAAATACTTCGAAAACAGCAGGGGGCCAAACCTAAAAAAAATATCGGTTAAGAAGATGGTGAAGGAAGCTGAGACCGATATGTGGAGAATCGGCATGATTAAGAAGTCCGCACTAGAGATCTATCGAACTTTTAAGCAGGAAATCGCCAAGGAAAAGATCTATGATAATACTCGGGGTAGTTCTTTACTGTGTGAGGCCAGGACGGGAGTATTGCGAACAAGGACATATCGGGCCAAATACGAAGGGGTAGACACGGTATGCAGTGCGTGTGAAGAGGAAGAGGAAACTGCCGAACACTTGTTAATGTTCTGTAAAGGGCTTCACCCTGTTGTTCAGGATGATGGCGCAGAGTTTTTCAAAGCACTGGGGTTTAGGGACAGGGAGGGCAAAATAGACTTCAAGCGGGTAGAATTAACTAGAAGGAGGTTATCTCAGTGGTGGCTAAAATCAAGCCACGATTGAAAATAAACCCTTCACTGCAAAGTACGAGTCCTATCTAAAGGAAAATTAAATAAATCTAGTTCCTAATTCACTAAGTATTACGGTTCGGTGTCGTCAGCCACCTGCCCGATCTAAAGGGTACAACCATATCAATCCGTCCATTCATTGAATGTATGATGAAAAGATGTGAGATGGTGGTACATGGACTGTTGACTAGATGGACGAATGGACACGCAGACAGATATATGATGGACGCACGGATAGGCTGCATGGACGGATGGACGCATGGTCGGGCGCAGGGGCGGATGCATGAACGAATGCGGGGACGAAGCACAGATGCACGTGAGGACGCACGAACAGACGCACGCACGGACGGGTGGGTGGACGCCGGGATGGTCACACAGATGGACGCATGGACGGACGGAAGTAAGAACGAATGGACGGACGGGTGCTTCGCCCTACTCTCTATCATTCACCCCATGGATAGGCTGCCATTTTTTCACTAAGATTTCAAATTTTATTACATTTCACAACTCTCAGTTCGATAAACTCCACTGTGAAATGCTTTTGTAAGAGCACAAGATGCCGGAATTCGAGAAGCAGGGTTTAGCTATTGAATATCACTGCCGAGTGTCGGGTATAGTTAAGTAGCAGCTCATGGCATGTGATACTTGGTTCGTGCCACTTGTTTGCTCGCCCA